TCAGAGTAGAGCTAAACATGATGGCAAGAACCAAGCTGGATGAGAATTCCACACAGCACATGAGAACTTGGCAGCATGGAGAGGAAACCACAGCTTAAGACAAATATCTGACATTAGCACTAAACTGCAGGACGAGAACTCTCAGACCAGTAACACATTTCCTGTGCAGAGGCAGAAGGCTCCGAGTCTACAGATAATATCCCCAACTGCCGTTGGCCCAATCCCAGACTTGCATATATCTTCCCATGTCTTCATTCTCTGCAGAAGCATATCTGAGGTAGCTTCTCATTATTAGATTATAAAAGTATCTTAAGAAGCTCCAATCGTTTAGAACGCCAAGATTTAGAAACAGATTTCAATCAAGGGTATGTCGACCTAGAGAAACCACAGTGTGATTCACCAAGAATAATGGCATCTACTTGAGGATCAACATTGCATCGGAAATTCACACATATTCAAGGAGGTAAGGGGTAAGGTTTCAAAGGTGAAATGAGAAAGATCGCATAACTAATTTTGAAACAATAATCCTTGGCAACAAGGACTAACAGTAAGGGATGTGACAATCCAAGATTAAGTAGGCTGTGGTTGGCCATGTGTCCTTGGGAAATGATTGTTTTGTGTAGGGTTGTGGTGGCCTTTGTGAACGCTGGGATTTAGACCGTCTCCTGAGGGTCCTTCTCGATAGCTATGTGTGAGTGACGTCTCCTCGGCTCCCACGCCTCGTTTATGTATTCATTTATCATTAGGGCCTGGCACGGGCTCCTCCGCTGTGATTCTGCCAACTTTCCCAGAGGCATACATGTCTGCATTTCCTTTCTGTGCTTCTCGACCTGTTGTTTTATGTCTTCTTCTTTTTAATAGTACGAGGAGGAATGAGAATCACACACTAGGGAACAAAACCAAGCCAGAACTGTTCCATACTAGTTATCAGATAATGGAGGAGTAGAGTTACAGCGAGTGCATCCTACATATGTTGTTTGCCAACATTTTTGCTATTTTGATAACTACGGTGTTGGCTAAGTCTTCATCTGACTGTTGGTAATTTCGCAGAGTGAATCTTCTCTCTCTCTCTCTCCCCACTCTCTTTCCTTTCTCTCCCTCTCTTTCTTTTCTCTCCCTCTCTTTCTCTCTCTCTTTCTACCTCTTCCTTTGTGTTTGCAACTCTGCTTTTCAAACAAATGCATAAATCTTTAAAAAATTGCCTACAATGTTTTATAAAGTTCACAGCATGTATAAGGTGCTGTGCTCTTTCCATGCGTATTTTAGACAGATTTAGAAATAGCTGTGTGGTTGCTGCTCTTTGCCTCCTCTGCCCGCCAGGTCTCTTGTGGCAGTCCTCATAGTCTCTTCCTTCATTGCATTCTCTCTCCCTGAAGCAAGTCAAGTCTGGCTGTCGGTGACGTACCACAGGATACAGAATGCTCTCCTTTAGACACACAAAACCTAAAGTGTGCTCTCCCTAAAAGCCTATTGCCAACTTTTCCAAATAAAACTGTGCACCTAGCAGGTGCCATGGAACTGTGTGGCCCATCAAATGTAGTACCCTTGCAACAAAGTTTCTTTCAGAAAGGCAATTCCAACGTATATTGCCACCAGAGGTATGTAGGTGCACACTCTTCTTTTGTTAAAATTTTTAGAAGATTTATTTGTTTTTATTAGAAAAGCAGATTTACAGAGAGAAGGAGAGATAGAGAGAAAGATCTTTAGTCTGCTGGTTCACTCCCCAAGTGGCCGTGATGGCCAGAGTTGAGTCAACCCAAAGCCCAAGCAAGGAGCTTCTTCAGGGTCTCCTACGTTAGTCTCTCCCATGCTGTCTCAGCAGAGTCCCAAGGCTTTGGCCCATCCTCTACAGGTTTCCCAGCCACAGGCAGGATGGGAAGTGGAGCAGCTAGGACACGAACAGAGGAGCACACCCTTCTAAACACAGATGCCAACACTGGGCAGGTTCACCCTCTGCCAAATGATCAATTTATGGGAGACTCGACAACCTTAGCATTCTTTTTGAATGTGTGTGGACACTTTCCTAGCAGTACTACCAACTGCTCCAGCATATGCATGAACTAGGTACATATTCTCTTTCGTGACTTACCTGTTTTGATACTGGCAAACTAAATAAAAATTGTAGCAGATATTCTTTAAATGATGATATTCCTTTGGGCATAGGTTAGCCCTGGAATGCTAATATGTGTGCAACAGTGAATTATGAGTGCAGAAAAGGGGTTCAGGCAAGAGAAAGTGTCTAAACACAAAAAGAAAGAGGATTTTGTAAAATATCTGAAACAATAATTGTGGGCCACGAGGTTACAAATGGCTTTGTTTCACTCTGAAATTTAATATGTAGTTGTTGGACAATGTCCCTACAGAGGGGGAAAAAAAGCAATTGTGTGTGTGTGCAAGTTGTGACAGATTTGGGGCAGGGTTGTTGTTCTGGCTGAATTTGATAATAGTTATTATCAGGAAATCCCACGTAATAACCCTTCCTCCGTAACTTCCTGATTGTGTTTAACTTGTTAGGGTTGGCACAAGCGACTCCATTTTGCTTCCGACAAGTTCCACAGCTCTTGGCTAGTTTTTTTTTTTTTTTAACCAGAATGGAAGTGCTTTTCATATCTGTTCATATAAGTTAACCATAATAACTAAGGTATTGGCCACTTTTTAAACCATTTTATAGTGAAATGGGTTTTTTTTTATTCTTTTTTTATTTGCTTATTTGTTTACCTTTAAATTTGGATAACTGTCTTCTGGTGGGCAGAATTGCAGAATTTTTTAAATAATCAAAATTATGAATGCTTCCTTTATAATTTTTCATACCTGTGACACTTAAAAAGTACCTCTTTCTACTCCATAGACTTACAAATGTTTCCATTTTCTCCAACAAATATGACCTTAAAATGTTAATTAATGTTAAATAATTCCGGAATTATTTATTTAGCGAGTGTGGTAACAATCTAAATTTATATTCTTTGGCAAGCCACCTACGATTTTAACTTCATGAATTCATCGAGAATTGTTATAAGTGTATCTGTGAAAGAATATTTCGCATTATATATTTTAAAACTCTATAGTATATTTTTCCTTCTTATAAAGGTTTTTCTGTATCATAGTTTTACAATTTGCTGACTGTGATTTCTGGAGGGAGAAGTGTTATCGGTATTTTAATTGGCAAGGGTGTATTCAAATCTGTTACTGACTTTTTGGGTTTTTTTAAAGATTAATTTTATTTTTATTAGAATGTCAGATATACAAATGCAGAGAGGAGCAGAGACAGAGAGGAAGATCTTCTGTCCACTGATTTACTCCCCAAGCAGCTGCAATGGATAGTTCTATGTGGCCAGGAGGCAGGTGACAATCTAGCCAGATAGTTTAGTACTCTAGAGGAGTTTTTTTTTTTCTTTCATTTCCCTCGTTTGAGAGATAAAAAGCAGGTTTTATTCCCAATATAAATTTTAGGAAAAAAGTCTACGTTGTTTATTTCTCATAGCAAACATTAAGGATGGCATGCAAGTCAAAAATCAACTTATTCCTAGATTAATGCTCTCTTGAAATCCTATATGGCTATATGACAACTGCTAAATAATTTTCTTGTTAAAATCAACTGTTAACAAGTGGCTTTTCCTGTTAATACTTTTTCTATTCCTTTTTTTTTCCTCCTCTTCCTCCATTCCTTCTTTCCTCTTCCATTCTTTCATTTTCCTTCTTTCTGTATACGTTGAGAGCATCTGTCTATGGCTATTGGTGAGAATAACCGTCCTGGAGGACAGATGGACAGTATAAGCTAAATCAAACTAATAAAGAAAATGCTATATAGAACTCTTACTATGTAAGAATAAAATTGCATTCTTGACTCATATGCAAATGTTATTAGCTGTGACCACAGCATTGCAGAAACTATAACAAAACTACCTCTGCTTCACTGAAAACCTCAATATTCAGAGAAGTAAACAGCAATATAAGGTAGATTGTTGTTTTATCCCCAAGCTTTTTGAGTAGTCATAACGACTAATGAGAGTGGCGAGGTTGGGAGTCTGCACCAACCACACAGCTATCATTGTTCAGAGATGTTTCAGAGAAGTTGAAGCAGGGAATGCTGGGTGAGAATTGGGGATCACGGCGATGGAGAAGTCTCCATGGTAACGACGTCTTCATGTCACACTCTCTCCCAGTGACTTGTGCTGGTCTGCACAGTTGTAAGCGATGTCTCCGGACAAAGAGCTTCCCCAGAAACATGTATTCTTTAAGAAAAAATATGAGCTCATTGTTAGTATCAAAACTTGCTTCAAAAATTGGTTTGCTTATTTGAAGGCAGTTATGGAGAGAGAGAGAAGAGACAGAAAGAGATCTTCTACACACTGGTTCACTTCTCAAATAACTGCAATGCCAGGGCTGCTCCAGGGTGAAGCCAGGAGCCTGAGGCCTCGCTTGAGTCTCCGACATGGGTGCAGGGGCCCAATTCCTTGGATGGTCTGCTGCTGCTTTCCCAGAGATGGCAGCAGGGAGCTGGGTTGGAGGCAGAGTCCCCAAGACTCAAACTCAATGGAATGACAACGCCACAAGCAGGGAGTTATCCCACTATGCCGTCATCCCCTTCAAAGCTTCCTAAGAATATGATTCCAAAATTAAAAAAAAATCATCATCATGTTAACATTTCCAAGGGTTTTAGCTCAAAAATGTGAAAAACTGTTCTTGGAGTAAACACAAAAGCAGTCTCTCTTGGGGAGAAAGAGTCAAAAGCAAAGTGTTCTAGGCTCCCAGGAGGTCTGCGCCCTCCGAGCCCCATGCTTCTTGTGAGCGAGGGGCAGGGAGGGAATTTAGAACCTCCTGTATGCTGTATTTTTGCATATAACTAAAAATAATGAAGTATCAGTATAGCTCATTTGCCATTGTAAAGAATTAACTAACCATCTCCTTAAGATAGAGAATCGTTTAAAGAATCATTTTTTTTCTTTACAGTTATATGGAAAGTGAATGAGGATTTTAAACCCTGATTATCTAAGGTTTTGTTTTAACCTGAAATGCAAGGCTTTTCAGGTTGTAAATCTACAGACTCAGTCAATTGGATTCAGCCAATCTTTGAAAAGACTTGAGGGAAACGGCGCCTCTGTACGTAGCGTGTATAAACTTTTCTTCTTGTGGTTTACACCCTAGGCATACAGTGAAACAGTTATTTACGTTATATTTGGTATTACAAGAAATCCAGGGATGCTTTAAAGCATATGAAAAGATGCTGTCCACAGGCTACAAGCAATTACTATGCAATTTGTGGAGAGTTAGTCACCCGTGAGCCCCGCTGCTCTCCGGCCGTCCTGGGACCGCTCCCCGTGCATGCTGAGGCAGAACCACATACAGCCTGCTATGGCTGATTCTCGCATCAGCATCCCACGCTGAAGGTGAAATAAACAGCTGCTTAGGAAAACAGAGCCCTTTTTGTGTGAGATGTAATGTAAAAACATGTTCAAAGATGCTTCACATTGTGATGTCCAATTTATAAAAGCATATCTTAATTTGACTCATTGGTCATTTGGGACATGCCACAAAGTTACGTTTGGCCTATTTATGACTTTTTTTTTTTTTTTAACTAAGAAATGAGGAAAGGATAACAATGAAACAAGGCAAACACCCCACTCAGGAGTCAGGGAACGCCTTGATGATGGACTCATAGGCAGGAGGCGGTGCTGTTACGAGGCTGCCTCGGAGGTTGCTGCTGGACCAGTGCAAATCAGGGCGGCTCAGGCTGCGCGAGGCAGCGATGCCGGCAGAGGTGCTGGAGGAAGGCAGCGTCATCAGGTGACTGTCAGTTTCCACAGGAAGTGGCGGACATTGCAGAAAAGGGTGGAAAGTAGACGCCCGGAAGCTTGATTTTCTCGGAAAAGAATTTGCTTGGTCCAGGGAAGCTTGCCGCTGGAAAGTGAGACTGGCCAGACTGAGGTTGCTTCGACGTTCGCAACCACTGTGGCGGTAAAACCCAGTTCTGTGGAGGCCATGGGTGTAGGAAGACCTCGATCGCCTAGTTGAACTCCACTGCGAGATGGGGGCACTGGCTCTCCGTCGAGACAGACACACGAGCAAAGCCCAGATAAGTCCTCCCAGGACAAGTCCGATCGCCATGGACACAGTGAAGGACATGATAAGGTCCTCTGAAACAAAACAAAAACGAACAGCTAAATCACATTTAAAGTAGGTACGCAATTGAAAAACAGAGAACAAACTATAACCAACTAAACATACTGTTATCCTGTTTTACCCAACAACTAGGAAACGAAGATAGTCATACTAATGCCATACTTAAGTTGATACATTACAGAGTTGTAAATGTGGTCTGGACCTGATTTCCTTGTGGGTGGCAACAGTCACTGATGTGTCAAGTTGATACGGTGTTTAATCACCACTCTGCCTTCTCCTCTATCTGCTCCCATCACTCACACTGAATCCTCCCACCTGAGTTCCTCCTAACGCCTCCCTTCCTGTCTGCTTCTGAAATAGGAAGTGCTGCCATAGGACCGCCTGGCAAACTGAGTTATGTCACGTTTCCTGGACACCTGGCAAGTCGCTTATCTCTCAGACTCCATGGTGACAGGACCCGTGCCGGCCACCAGGCTTTTTCTCACTCCTGGTGATAATGGAGTTCCCTCCCTCTGAACTCCAAGTCTCAGAGTGCTCCAATTCACCAAAGTTGTATTTGTTCAGATTTCCTGTACTAGGGGTGGGGAAGAGTGGGAAAAACTTACTCCAGAGAGAAGTAATGCCTATGTCCATTTCTGAACTAAAAACATATTTTAGAATTAAGCTGAGAAACACAGTGTTTCCTTTGCATGAAAAAAAAAAAAATCTGTGGCTGCTTCACCAGCTACTCAATTCCTCATGGTCCATTTCAGAAGGGTTGAACAAGACTGGAGCTAGGAGCCAGGAATTCAACCCCGATATGCCTTGTGAATGTAGAAACGCAGCTAACTGAGCCATCACCACTGCCTGTTAGAAGGAAATGCGGATGCGTGCGCAGCTGAAGGTACGAATTGAACACAGGTGCTCTGATGTGCCAGTTAGAAATTTAAACTAGTGGTTAAGATGCGGGACATCTAATATTGTATTCTATCTGGTTTGTAGCCAATAACAAGCACCACCTGAAGCCTGGTATTAAAAAGTTAGTAGAGGTCTCCATCTAGTGGCTGTGAGTTGAATTGTTCCAGCGCCTGAGTGATTTTCCCAAGGACAGCAGAACCGAGCCGTGCTAAAACATTCAGAAACTTCTTGAAATTGTAAGACCACAAGCTAAATTTTGCTAGAGACAATGGGATTGCAAAAACTATAAAGCTCCTGCATATCAAAATAAACAGGAACAGACTGATGAGACAGTCTTAAAGTGGGAAAAACTGTAAGCCATATTTACGGAGTACTTCCCAACATTCAAGAAAAATGGAAATAAAGGACAAGTTTATTTGGGGTGCAAAAACTTTTTGAAATATGTACATGATCTATTCATTATTGTCTGATAACATTCTGAATGTCCCTTGCATATGAAAGACATTGACTTCCTAAGTACACAGGGAACTCGTAAAGCTCTATAGCAAGAAAACAATTAACTGATGTTAAGACGAGAAAAGGTCTTCAGCCGACTTTTTTCCAGAAAAGGCATGCAACACGAAAGGTTTTCAACATGATGAGCCCTCTCAGAGAAATGTAGACCGGGCTATAATCAGGTATCCTATCACACTTGTCCCAGCTGTGGGCTGAAAGGCAGAAGATACGTGCTGAGGTGATGGGAAGAAAATATTGATCTGGTCATTCAGTTGATACAGCCAGGAGAGAAACAAGTATGGCGATCTCTTTCAAGTTAAAAATGGAGCAAATAGTCGATTCAGCAATTCCTCCAGAGACACATTCGAACATATTCCTACTCCTTGAAATGCAGCCAGCGCCTCTCAGCTGTGTGCACCCGCGCGTGCATTGTAGGGTGTTCACGACACTCAAGGTTGGAATGCCCAAGGTTCATGATTGAAGAGATTTATCACATAAAGATATCTGTTTCATATAATGTAATACAATAAATATAATGTAATATAATATAATGTAATACTATTGGGGTATTATCATCCAGCTTTTTACAAAGAAATACTCATTGCTTTGGAAGGTCAAAGATGCAAAGAGAGGGACCGACAGAGAGAAACAGAGAGAGATGTCTTTCATCCACTGGTTCAGTTACCATGTGGCCACCACTGGAAGCAATGGGCAAGGCTGACACCAGGAGTCACGAAGGTGGCAAGGCCTGAGGCACTAGCGCCATCTTTTCCTGGTGCGTTAGCCGAGGGCTGGGACAGAGTGGAGTATCTGGGACATAAAGTGGCACCCACATGGATACTGGTATTGCAAGAAGCAACTTTAGGCACAACACTGCAATACTGCCCCACATCCATCCTTTTCAAAAATAAATCCTGTTATTTGCAACAACTTACATGAGCCTGGGGGCCATTGTGCCGAGTCACATAAGACAGACATGGAAAGACAACTGAATGGTCTCATAATAGCATATTATATGTTTGCAATTAATGAAGAGATTCTAAAAGTTATCATATACCCAAAAAGTAACTGTGCAAGATGATAGATATGTTAAGTAGGTTGATGGCAATAATCATTTTATATTATGTAATATTAAAATTGCATATCATACATGTTAAACATGTAACATTTATTTGTCAGCTGTACTTCAGCAAGTATGGAAGGGAGAAGCAAGACAAAGGAATCAAAGGAAGTCCGTGTCACCTTGAAAAAATGATGTTGCCTCGGGAACCTCTCAGTTAGACTTCGTGCTTTGTCCTTGACTTCAGGGAAAAATAACCGAGTTCCTCCAGCTGAAGGCCACTGCCAGGCCTGCTCTGGGTGTAACATTTGCGAATGTTACACTGCTGGGAGAAAAGCAGCCAACAGCTGGCTGGCATTCTAGTCCTTGTTGATGACTTTTTTTTTCTGCTACATGTGTCTGTGGGGGCCAAACAATGGCCAGAGCCAGGGAACTGGGGAAAAATCAGAATGGAAGCCACTGAGGGCATGTTTGACATGCATACAATAATTTCTAAGAGCTTCTGTGGAAGCCACTGTACTTGTGGGTAACTGAGAGAGCTGAGATCAAGTACATGAGATGGATGGACCCACAGGGCCTCTGGATCAGGCAAAGGCACCTGCTGGCATATGTAAGAGCCAGGACTGGGAGTAAGCCAGGCTAAGCTTGGTTGCAGCACACACAGGTGCCATGGGAATTGTGTTTGGGGGCAAGACTATTAGGGGTTTTTTGAGGTGGGTCCAGTTAGGCTATAGTACCCACTAGTGCATAATAAAATATGTCAGGGAGTGAGCCGGACTGGGCTGGGCTAAGATGGAGCATCCGTTGGCAAGAGCTGGAACTGGGATGGGCCAGGAGTGGCCAGGCTAAGCCACAGCACTCCCCTGTGCATGCAAAAGCAGGCTCTGGGAGCATGTCTGGCAAGTGGCACCATCTAGGCTGCAGCACTGCTCGTTGACTCAAGAGCCAGTTTAGGAAAGGCTTGGCTGAGCAAGGCCACATTACCTGCCGGTACATGAGAGTTGGGACTGGAGGTGGGACTGGGCAGGCAGCTGTACCGACCGTTACTTGAGTTGTCTGGTTCAGGCAGCAGGCTGAACCTGACCCTGCACCAAGTAGTGCACACAAGAGCTCTGTCTTAGGGCCTCCCAGGCGAGGTTACCCAGGGGGCTGCCCAATTACATTTCTGCGCTCAATCCTTGCCTCAGGGAAAATCACACAGATATGTGGTCTGAGCCCAGAGCACATGTTGAGGGTCTGGGACACCTCAGTCTGCTGATTCCCATGCATAAAGGCAGAACACACCCAGATGCACATGAAAGATAAGGCAGCCAGCTCATCTGAGCCAACAAAGGTTGAGCAATTCAGGCCTGGCTTTCAGCAAACGTCTAGATCTGTAGATTCAATGGCATAGGCATGAATAGCCAACAGGCCTCAGATAGGATTTCTCACCTCTGGGGCAACAAGACTAACTACTCAGCACAATTAAAACCATCTGAGTAACACCCATGGAACATTCTTTCCCTCTTGGGATCTCTAAAGCAACATCAAAAAACCAGCTCTGGCCCCAGAAGTTGGTGTAGTCTGATAGCAAAAAGTGGTGCGCTCCCCCACCCCGGATACAGCAGGGAAAGCTGAAGCACCTATCTCACCTCCTTGTCCCCGATCCTGATCCGCCTCTGTAATAAATGCTAAAGGAAAGAAGGAAAAGAACAAAGTTGGGGAGCGTACGTAAGTCTGAGATCTTACTGTAAAATTCAACAGGTGGAATGAAAGAGCTGTAACCGCGGAGACACGCTCACACTGATCTGTCCTTTGGAGTTTAGCAAAATCATCAAAGGGATTTAAAAAAAAAAATCTTAGAAAATTCAGCTGGAAAAGCTGAACATGAATATTAGTAAAAAGCTCAATTTCTATAGAATATGCAGAAATTTAATATTTGATGGGTAACTCTGGATTTGAAACATGAAAACTAAAATCCTCAGCCATTACAATTTTGGAGGACAGCGTAAGAATACCTAAATGACTAATTAGGGTGAAGTTTGATAGTTTCCAGAAACCAACATTTCGTGTTTAGATAATATCTTTGTTTGCTGTTGCAGTAACAGATTCCTTGAGATTGGATCATTTATGGAGAGGAGACCGGGGCCGGGCCCAGCGTTGTGGGGCAGTAGGTTACCCCGCTGTTTGGAATGCTGGCATCTCTTATGGGAGCTGATCCAAGTTCTGTCCCACACCACTTCTGATCCAGCTGCCTGATAAAGTGCCCAGGGCAGTTCTTGAGTCCCTGCCACCTCTGTGAGAACCCTGCATTAGCCTGGCTGCTGGCTTTGGTCTGGGACGGACAGGACGGCTGTAGTCAACTTGGGAGTGAGCGAGCGGATAGAAGATTTCTCTATTTCATCTTGTCTCACCCTGACTTTCCCTGTAATGCTGTCTTTCAAATCAATTTGAAAGAAAAGTGGGATTGATTTTTGTCACAGTGTTGAGAGCTGGGAATGTGCTGGCATCGGCTCTTTCGATGAATAACTTGTAATGCAGAAATTCATAAGAAGCAGAGAGAGCGTGTAAGCTGAGACCTGT